TATTTTTTAGCACTTTTCCAAAAAATTTTTAAAAAAAAGTGCTTATTAGTTTCACTCTGTCCGTCCGTCCGTCCGTCCGTCTGTCCGTGTGTCTGTTTACAAAACTTCTACACCCTTGAAGATAGAAAGCTGAAATTTTGTATGTACATTTTGTATCTTTACTAGAAACTTATTTCCGTAGAACAAAATTTTTACCTATCTCCCCCCCTCTAGAAGTTATACCCCCCCAAAACCCTAAAAATGGCCTTTTTTAACTATTTGTTGCAATAAAACCATAAGCATTTTTGAAATTTTGCAAACGCAGCCGCTTGCTTCCCCTAGCGCGGTATACTATAGTTAAACTTTAAAAAAACAAAATGGCCGTTCAAATTTACCGTTACCTAAAGTCTTTTTTTTCAAATTTTTGATGTCGTTTTTCTTCTAGACCCCAGGTTGTAGGAACGTAAAATTTTAGGAGCTTTTAGATACTAATAAATAGTTTATTTCGTTAGAAGAAAATTTTTTTCCATCTCCAACCCTTCTCAAGTTATCGCCTCTTGAAATTTGTAAAATTTGAATTTTTGATACCTTATATTTTCGAAACCACAAGCTTTTTCAAATTTCTATAAACACAAAAAGCTAACGGTGAATTCCATGACATTAATAAATATAATTATTTTTCTTAACTCACACAATTAAAACTTAAAATCGAGCATTATGTTAACCCCTCTTTATATTAATTTTCGCTTTATTTGAAAGACTGCATAAATCGTTCATCCTAAATTTATGCAATCCTATAAATAGATTTGTATATGAATGAAAATAATTGCAATAGCGTGATAGGTATACATAGACTGTATTTAAAAACAGAATTTTCACTTGTTGAAGGGAAAAGTGCTACAATACAAACCATTGGTTTGACCCAACTTTATTATTATTGAATATACAAGTAATATCATTGAGTAGCTACTATTATTATTCCTTAACATTTATGTAGCAGCAACTAGTGAGTGTTCTCAATTCATTTAATATCGAAATAATTTGATTTTTAATTATTACAGCCGTATTTCTTCATCACCGTATATCATAAGAATGTGATGAACAAAAAGAAAACAAGAAGAAAAATCGAAAAAATTAAAACTGGTTAAAAACGATAATTTCTATTCATGAATTAATTTTAGCGTATTTTATCTTTTATTTTCTATTTTGTTTTTTTAATTTTTGTGGTTTTATCGCTTGAAATGAAAAAAAAATAGTAATAAAAAAAAAACAAAAGCCGAAAATTAAATCTAACTCATTTAACCTTAAAAAACACTCATTATTGCTGCTAAAATACAATAATTGTGTTTATTTTTTTAACTAACGAAGCTCACCATTTTGGTATTTATGATAAGAGCACTACTAAAAAAAAAAAAATTAGTAAATTTTTTATGAAAGTTTTTTTTTCTGGTTGTGATTTTCTTTTCATTTTTTTTTTGTGATTTTAATTTATGTACATTTTAATTTGCGGTTTTATCTTATTTAAAACAAAATAATAGTAATAATAATATATTAAATTTTGGACGCCTTAATTTATGCAATTGTGTTTTGAAATAAAATTTCTTTTGCTTTTCTTAGAACATTCTTTAGGGTAGTTTGTTTATCAGTACTATAGCTATTAAGTATTTCTTTAAGCACACAAGTACGCAATTAAGTACATATATGGATTATGTATGTGTGTATGTATATGTAGCGATTACAGTTATTTTAAATAATATTCTTATTTATTATTTTTTGTTATTTATTTATTTATGACACGAGAGAAAAAATTTCTCATAATTGGCTGTATATAAATAATATAAAAAGAGAAGTTTATAAGTAATTGACTTTTGAGTAATCTTCTGATAAGTAGTTTAATGTAACTGGGTAAATCATTATATAACTTGGTTTCTCAATGTAATATTGCAACTAGTTGAAAATGTGATGTTCATTTTTTATTTAGGTGAATAAAATTTATATTCCTGGTAATAACTTTATGATAGTCCCTCCATCTAGACAAAGTTTTTGAAGGATATATCATCATGAAGTATTAAACTACCGAAATTAACGAAATCTTCAACAAAATCATGATTAGTAACTGTACCCTATAGATTAACTCTACAACTAATATGACTGTAGAAAAGTGGGCAATGAATTGATTGTCCCTGGACAGTCCCTGGTATAATATATTAAACAACTTTTGAATAATTTAAATATACATATTTATTTTAAATAATATAAAAATAACCCAAATTTTTTTTTCTTTTATAATATTATATTCATTTTGCCTGTACATTATCTTGCAATATATATATATGCAAGATTTCTCTCCAATCTTATTATTTAAAGCTATTCTTATTAAATTTATTTGGGTGCAATATTAATTACTAAGTGAATTTAAACCATTTCATTCAATCGATCTAGTATAAACATAACTAATTGACTAAATAATAAAGAAAAAATTTCTGTACAGCAATAATTTGTTACACCTCAGAGACTATGTGAATTTCAAATATTTGAAATAGCAATAAATTTTAAAAATTAAATCATTATCTTATACTCAACAAATTCTTACAAGCTTAAATATCGGATATTTACATAAGTTCTTTTAACTAAAAAATAATGTAAACAATGTTAATCCAAGTTTTATATTAATTAACAACCATATTTATATATAGAATAGTTAAAAATAAAAACAAAAATTCAGTTCCTTTCTGGGATAACATTTTACATAGCTTTCAAATTCAAATCATATTTTAGTAGCAGTTAACACATGTAACTACTTTGTATTTAATTAAAAGGCATTAAAAATTTTATCTTTAATTTTATGCGATTTAAGTAATCTTAACCGTATTAATTAGATTATCAAATATATAATATATATAGATAAAATATCAACTGAAATCAAGACAATTTAAGCTTCTATTTCTTTAACAAAATTAAAAATTAAAAAAAAAACAACTTATGTAATGACTAATTTATTTGGATTAGGTAGGTATATAATTTAATTTATAAATCAAATTTAACTATAAAATTATGTATAATAAAATTGCTATATAAATTCTCAATTCATTTATTGATCATATACAAAAAATATTTATTATATGTAAACTTATATATAATAACCTTAAAAATCATATTGATTCTAATTAAGTTAAAAAATTAATTAAATTTTTTTTTACATATACCTATACCCATATATTATTTTACAAATCGTCTTATTTGAGCATTGGAATGGTTCATTAACCAAAATCATACAAAAAAAAAAATTTTCATAATCAATATACATACCTCATGTACATAATAAGTAATAAAATTAAATAACATATGTAATTGTTATACCACTATATATACATACATAATTACAAAACCATAATATGTATAACAAAATTCTATAAATTTTTTGTTTGTATGTACATACTATATGCTGCTCTAAATTTTTATAATAATAGATTTTAATGAGAAAAGCTTAATATGTATAACAACATTTATACTTTTCTTTTTAACACGTTTTTCTTAACATTTTTTATATATAGATACATGGGAAATAAACCTGCAGCGAATATTATTGTAATGAACTACATATTATCAGAATAATGAATACATTATTAAACTCGAAATATATTCAGTACTAACAATACATATACAATAGTTGTTAAAATAAAATCAAAAATGCATAGTATATTCAAATATTTCTCACCGTCATCAAAAGTCATTACAAATGTATAAAAGTTTCTTAATAATTATACCGAAGGTATACAGCAAAAAAAAAACACAAAAGTACAATTTTTTTTTGTATTTTGTAGTTAAAATTCCAGCTCTAAACAATAAACATAGATAATAAACGTATCTCGCTCACTCTAGAAAAGAACGCCCTCTGTATAATTAATTTTTGAAACATTCTTTAATAATATTGTATAACAATATTATTATCTAATAATTTTTTTTATATTGAAATTTTTTATATAATATACTCATAAAATTTATTAATTTTCTCTTATTAAATTTTCTCTCAATTATTTGTTCTCAAAATACTGTTATATAAATGTAACTATCGCATGTGCGCTCGCATATTTTATAATATTATAAGAAAATTTTCACGGTTTCTGCATTATGTATACTTATACAATTTTAGTTTTGTTTTGATCAAACATAAATCAAGGGTGAAACAATTAAAAACTGCTTTAAATCACCCTTTCAACTATGAAATAAATGCATGTATACACATAGTATAAATTAAGTAGTAGAATATTATTATGAAAATTAAAAAAACAAAAAAAAAATCAGAACATAATTTTGTTACAGTTTGTGAATTGTGAGTACAAAGAGTATAAAACTGTTTAAATATCATTCAAATATATTAGACAGACGACAGGATAAATAACAACATTCTTGATCGTAATGAAAACAATGAGCGCATAATATTATAACAAAAACGATATCCCACCGTGATTTAACACTCTCATTTTATATAAAAGTTAGTTAACATAGAATGCCGCATTTATTGTTGTTTTGTTTACTATTTTTGTTTTTTCCATTATTATTTTTCTCTTTACTCTTTTTTTTTCATTTTTTGCTTTTATTATTATTATTCTTTGTTTTCATATATTACCTTACAGAGGTTAAATTTATAATTTAAAAAACCAAACCTTTAAATTAATATGGAAAAGATTTTTACCATTGTATAGAAAAGAATAAGAGAAAACGGAAAAAATAATAAGAAAAAAAGAGAAAAACAAATCAATTTTACAACAAAAATCCAACATAAAACCAATGCTTTTAAAGTAAGTAAACGCCAAGTTCAGTCTTCATTCAAACTTCTTAGCGGTAAAAAGTGCAAAATAAAACTCACGCGATAAAATTTTTGATTTTTGTTAAAAAAAACACGATTATTTATTTTTTTTTTATTTTTACCTCAAAATTCGCTCAAATCGTGCTTTATGATAAAATATTTATCATATGCAACTCATATACCACATGTGTACTTAAAATTTAAAAAAAAATACTAGTTGCAAATATAAAATACTAAATTAGTACTTTAAGTATTGAGTACTAAATTAATATTTAAATAAAAACATTTCTATACCACCAATAAATCTAGTGATTTTAAATAAAATAAAAAACCATGATACGGTTAATGTTAATATCATGTATTTTCTTGAATACAATTAATAGTCAAATAACATTAGCCCAATATTATTATCATAATCCGAGAGCATTAGCTAAATCCTATATACATCAAGTACGTTATTTTGGACCTACCGTTCAACATATACATTTAGATCAAAGACATATAGAAGAAAATCCTGCAGAAAAAAATATACAATTTTTATCACAAAATGATTTATCAGAACCGAATTTAGGACAATTTAGACCATCGTCAATATATAACAGATTACCATTACAATTTCCGCAATCACAACTACCATCATTACCACCACCACCACCTCCACCCATACGTATGTGTCCGCGTTCTAGAAGAGGACTTGATTTAGTTTATGGATGGCGTGATATAGAATTTTTATTTCCAACTCGTTATGAATATGAAAATGCAATACGTAATCGTTTTTATGTTGAACGTGCTGGTAATCCAATTGATGTTGCTGTTGAATATAAAAATAATGGTAAACGTCGTGTATTTGTAACAATACCACGTTTTCAAGATGGTGTACCCTTTTCATTAGCATATGTTTCGGATACAAGAAATGGTCCAAAAGGACCAGCACTTGTACCATATCCAAATTATTATTGGCATTCAACAACACATCGTGGTTTAAATTGTGAAGGTATAACATCAGCATTTAGAGTTGCGGTAAGAAAATTATTGTTTTTTTTTTTATATTATTGTTATTGATTAAGACACCCCTATATATATGACCTATACTATAGTAAGTAATAGTATTATTACAAAATTTCTTGAAAAATATATTTCTCTATAGGTCAAAATATTCACAAGTTTTAACTTGAGTTTTCACACATTTTTTAAAAATTTACCTCTATACATACGTATACTGTGTACCTTCAAAATTTTAATTATATTCGAAAAAAATTTTAAATCTTTAATGGGAAATCTTTTTTACATAGTCTTTTGACGACTTGATAAAAATCATCATTATCACTTTTTGAAATTTTTAATTAAAATGGATTTATGTATATATGTATGTACGTAATATCGTTAATTAAATGAAGAAGAAGGTGTTAAAATAATAAAAAAAAATAATTACAATTTTTAAAAACGCACAATAAAGGATGATGAGAAATTTACATAATTTGAAATATAAAATGTCAATTTTATGTAATATAAAATAAAAGTTCACAATTTATTTGCTACTTTTTACGATTAATAGTAAATTGTTTTGGAAGTGAACATGAATGTCTTTACAATGTATGTATATTGTGCATGTTATAAAATTGTTTTGAAGTTATTAAAATACACGCAATATTTACGGAAAAAGAAATACGAACAATATTACGGTCCCGTAATTTTTTATTATTTGTAATCCATAAACTTTTCCATTCATTTACACAAATAAGAATTTTATGATATTTCAAAATGTCATTCAATTTTAAATTTGAAATTTTTGCAATTATTATCAATACGATACGATACGATTTAAAATACGGTCAAAATGCGATCAAAATAAATTGAAACTACTGCACAATTCACTTAAATTATTTTTTTTGCATAAACTGTTAAAAAATTTTCTAATTAATAATTAAATTTGATATTCAAATTGCACAAAAAATAAGACAAGACAACAATCATATTACGATATTATTTACCATAACAATTGAAATGAAAAAAAATTTTTGAGGAAGTAAACGAAATTCTAATTTAATATTCGCATGAAGGGCGTTCTATATACGAGTATAACTAAATTATAATAGAACTTTTAAAATTCCTATTTCTCTCCCAAATTCCTATAGTATTAATAATATTTTTTTGCAAACTAATTATATATAACATTAACCGAACATTATTTAAAAATACACAATTTTTAATTACACACTCCTAAAATCAATCTTAAATTCGGTTTTTAGTGTATTTATTTTAAGTTTCGATTATTCTTAACATAATTATTGTTGATGTTAACAAGATTTTAATATTTTCTACAAAATTTTTACCAGAAAATTACCCACATAATAGTATAACACAGTTCTATTAGAAAGACCTTCGAAAAATTCCCATTAAAAGAAATAAAAGAAAAAAAAAACACAGCAAAAACTTTTAAATTTAAAAAAAATTTAAAATTTAAAAAATCAGTAATGTTAAATCAATAAAATGTTAATGCATGTTTACCTACCTCACACCTTAACTTTAAAATTCGCCTTTTAATATAATTGTGTATACATATGTACATAATTTATTTAATTTAAATATTATTAAAGAAGATGAAACATGTCCAATTATAGCACACAATTTATTCATAGAACATATATACATACATGTGCTTTATAAAAATTGAGTAGTTATAATATAGTAGTTAAACGCTTAAGCATAAATATTTAATTAAAAAATTTATTATTGATGAATTGTGCTATAAATATACAGCTATAGTCGAATAAATAATTAAATGAGTATTGATTGCATTGAAAATAAAAATTCAATAAAATAATTATTAAAAATTTGCAATTATGATGGGCTTGGTTTACTTTAGGGTTGTTGGACTTGCATTGTTATTTATAATATTAATTATTTTGTTAGTTTAATTCGAAACAAAATTCTACATTAATACATAGTACTTTATGTTGCTCTATATAATATTAGTTAAATATCTACTGCAACATTAACAACTAGATTTAGAAATTATCGTGTATCACACTTACTCTTACAATGAATGTTTGATTAAATTGCTATATATAGTTAGTAAAATTCAAAATATTCAATTTACTGCATTATATAAATTAATTGCTGAGTAAGTTTGATGGTAACTGAGTTTTATTCCAAAATTTTATTTGCTTTAATATAGAATACATTCATTTAGAAAACACATCCAATAATATAATTCTCATAATGTCCCATCGCATTTAATGAAATTTATTATACTCACAACGGACACGATAATTAAATTTAATAAATTAATAAATAATTTAAACATTTATTTTGAGAAGAAAATTTATTAAATTTGAAAAAATAATGTTAAGAGCTCGGAAATTTAATAAAATCATTAAGATATTATAATTTAATAATCTAAATTTAATAATATAATAATAATAACATCAAGATACTGAAAATTTCACCCAGAATCAAAGAACGCTTTATTTAAATAACAAAAATATTCATATATCAATTAAACATACTGAACGAACCTACAACTTTCTCATACACTCTTTAATTTGTACAAAATTTATTTTATTAATTGAATCATCATGACATTTTTTTGAAAAATCATAAAAAAATAATTTTCGCATTTTAAAGCAGACGCTACAAAGAATGAGTCAAAAATCCTTCATTTATTAATAAATCGTCCTTTAAAAATTCTTTTTTTTTAATTAATTATTCATAATTTTCTCAATAACCGGATTATATATATGATTAATTTCCTTATGGTGAAATTTTTTTTTTAATTTTTCCTTCACCTTCTCATTATTATAAGAACATTATTAATTAAAATTCACTTAACACTTTTATATTCATTTTCATTCATTCAATTAATAGCCATTTAATAGCTTATACACGAAAAATCATACATAATAACCTACTGTATGATCATTGAAGTATAATAAATACTTAATACATATTTTGTATGAATATAAAAATAATAGTGATCTTGAAAATTTAAACTCTACTTATTAATTGCGAAATTTAATAATAAAAATGAATAAAAATAATAAAATTACATTCAGAAATACTCTTAATCTTAAATATGTTAACTCAAAACAAATAACACAAAAATTCACTCAAAAATATGTTTGATTTAACTTGAAGTATGTTAAAACGTTTTTTTTTGTATGATCGAACAACTATATTATACTTGTATGTATTACAATTCAAAACAGTTAAATATTTCGTATTGTGTGTACAATATTATTGAACAATATTTTTTAATTATCATTTTTGATGACAAATTAATTTTGTTTTTTTTTAATTGTACAGACAAAAAAACGCAATAAAAGCGTGTGTTAATGTAATAAAAGTAAATTACCTTAAAATATATTAAAAAATGTATCATTTTTTTTTTGTTTATTTGTCTGACATTAAGCGATTTTTCAAACTTTCTTTTTCACATATCTTTTACAGTATTATTCCATTCATTTACAATTTGATTTTTACATCAAAATTTTGGCATTTTTAACATTATAAATAACATATAAAGCACAATGCCCAAACATATGTAATACAAATTCAGGTTTATAATTTCTCTTTTATACAACTTATATTGACTATATACAACTTATATTGCTTATAATAAAAAAAAACTTTTTAAAACGTGTAAATAAGAAAAAAAAATTCCTTATGAACGAAAAACTCATTATTTTTTTCCAAATTTTTTTTCTTAATCATATTAAATTAACAAAATTCACCTTGCCACTTTAATATTACGCACATAGTATAATTTATCGATTCCCACTGTTTGTTAACTGACTGACACATAGGTACATACCTTTGTACATTGTAAATAAAAAATATGTTTAATAATATTAACATGGCATATATGATTTTTCTCTTAATCATTAATCAAATTCTTACCATCCAAATACTATAGCCATCAAATTATTAAAATATATATTGGATTGGATTTGAATTGGCATTTAAAATCAATTTTCATTAATATTCACTTGTAATAACTTATTGTGAACTTATTGTGAAGTATAGTTATAGTTGAAGTTATAAAAGTATTATAAATGAAATTAATTAAAATCCAATCCGTAAAAAATTTTAATATATACATTAAAGTTTACAATTGTATATTATATATTATGTAAAGATTTAAACAAAAGAAAGTTTTCAATTCCTTGATCTGTCACTACATGTATTCGAAGAACACGTGCAATAAAACAATTACTAGCAAGATACTGCGTCACTGCTTAAATACTTTGATGGATGTATCATGCCACCATAATATGTTTTTAATATCAATATTATCGTTGAGTGAATAATTTTCATAATTTCATCAGCTTTATTTTTTAGTATTAAATTTAAATAATAAAAAATTAATTTGAAAAATGGAAAATTAATAAAACGATATTGCACTATTCTGCACTATTGTGAGTCTTATAATCACAGTATCTTAAAATGAACAATCCCTATGAACCACTTAAAAATAATTTTTCTGCTAAATTGCAAAATGCAAATATTTCATATGTGTAAATTTTTATAGCCAATAATATTAGTGACAATCTTATATAATACGAGTGCAATCCTAATCACGAAACCATTCAAGTGAATTTTCTTATGAATTCTTAATTTTCTAGAATTATGTTCCTTAAAATTTTGATTAAGAAAGAGGATTGCGACGCTAAGCACCATTATATTTTAATAATAATATTATGTAATTTACTTATTATTCATATTATTGAGAGTTAAACTTTAAAATGATTAGTAAATAAAATAATGCCTTAATTGACTTTATGCATATTTTGTTTGTACAACCTAATTTACAGTTAAATATAAATTTTATATGTACGTGTACAAATACATTTCTTTAAGTTATTTTTTTGGGGTAAAATAATAAATTATTTAAATTTTTAAATATACAAGGTTATATTTTTTTTGTTAATTATATATACGACATAGATATTATACGATATAAGTGTTGACTTGCAAATTTATTCATTAATATGCTGATTATAATTCGCTCAATAAATGAA